CGCTTATTAAAATGAAAACAAAAGTGCCCCGCCTCCAGCTCAGCAAGTCTGCCTGCTCTCGCCCCTAAGTGATTCCTTAGAAGCTTCCTTGTTCTCCATGGAGGCCATGAAGTTCCACTTTCTGCCTCCCCCAACCCTCACAGCCCCTTCCGGAGACCTCCCAGTGGGAAAATAATAAGCTTAGGGAAAGGTTCCCTTGTCTGCTTCCTTGGCATCCCTCTTGCCTTCCAGTGTTTTTGCTTCACCATGAATTGCTATATATATAAATGTGTGTGTATATATAACTAAGCCTTTGCTTGTGTAGAGCTTTGGAAATAGGATTTTATCCTGGATGGGTGAACCAGGACCTAGAAAAAGAAAAGGAAAAGCAATGCGCTTTCATTCTTACAGGGTGATAATCCTTCTGACTGAGCTCTCCTTAGATACTTTACCTGCCTCCTATGGCAGAAGTTGAGATATTTTGGGCCCCATTTCTCTACCCTGGGAAGAGAAAGGACACGTGCATTGTCACACTTTAAGAATCGGGTTTCCTTTCTTGCCGTTTCTCCATCCTTTCACTTAGACCGTAAAAGGCACCACCTCAGGAATCATTCACTCACTGGCCTCTCTCCAGCCTCTTCTTCCCAAACAATACTGTAGTTGTCTACATATGTGCTTTTACCACAGCTGCTCGGAGCCTTGCTGAAGTGAGGCTAGGTGAACATGCCCTCTCTCTTCATTGTCACCCCTCTAATTATTTAATTGGAAATAAAATCCCAGGGAAAAGAGCTGCAAATATGTGCATAAACCCATTGTTCCATGTGAATTAGAGAAAACTATTGACTGAGGTGCACTTTTATAGCACTGTTTAAGGCTGAATAAATGCCTCAAGCCTTCATTTAGTATCAGTGAATTCCAGTAATAATGCAGAGTGATTTCAAAGTAGTTTATGCACCATCTTAGCCCATAGATTTCTAGAGAAATAAACATAATTTGTAGATTTTCTTTACCTCCCATTACTGATTGTGATGTAGACCATTTATATTACCAAGCAAATATGTACCACTTCAAATAGTGGAAAACCTTCAAAATAGGAATTTCTAGCTTCATCTTACCCATATTTGCTTTTTTGTTATGTCAGTCAATTAATACATAAGACAAAGAATTGATGGGTTCTTTAAATGTTAGAAATTCTTTTATTTGGGGGATTTTTTCTGAAATCAATAGGAGAAATTTAATTAGGGGCAGGAAGATGAAACTGAGAGGAAATATCATCTGATGGCCAGATTCTCAATACATCTCTCCCCTCTTTGATGAACCTTGGCCATTTTCTGCTTGAGGTTTGGAAGGTCAAGCTCTCCCACCCCCAACTTAAGTACCAGAAGCATTCTTTATTTTGTACAAACTGGAGTCTAGGTTTCAGTACCTCAGAGGTCTAAGACATGCCCTTTATTTTCAAGAAAGGGAAGGCCAGGGAAAAGAAAAACACCTTTCATTTAGAGTTTAAGGTATTCCAGAATGCCCACCTCCTGGAATGATACTTTTATATTTAGAAAATGTAATAGAGGTTTTTTTTAAATGGCTTACATGGGCAGATGATTTTTTCTTGGGAAAGGCAAACTTCCTGTTCTCTAAATACCAGCAAACCAAGGGTATAAGGAACCTTCTGCTCAACAGTTTAATGGAATCAGACATTGTCCTCAAACCACACGCCCACCTCCCTTCACCTTACCTGACTGTAGTCTCTAAGGGACCAGGACTCTCTTACGGCTGCTTCTTTATCTGGCCCCTGTTTACTCCTCTTTGCCCTTTTCTTGTCTGAATTCACTTAAGTGTCTCCTGACTAATTTCCCACCTTGTGGGAGATGTTTGAGGCAATTCTTTTAACATTCCTAACCCCCCGTTCTTTCTTTAAACAAGTGATGGGGGATGAGAGAGAGAGAGAGAGAGAGAGAG